TATGTGAGAGTTCCAAATATAGAAAGAATATAAACAGGATACACACACACACAAAGTTTGAAATATAAATAATATATATTTTATACATTTATTCATTTAAATATTATGACAAATGACCTTAAAGACTAACATACATATAATATAATATCAAAACTAAATAAGTAATCTACACGTATTGCACTTGTCGGTGACGTATGGCACAATCTGGTGACAGGTAACCGGCCTCGGAATAGCCGGTATATGAGGATGATTTTCAGTTTTTTTTAATTTAATTTCGGTGGCAAGTTTTATTATTCAAGTACTCGAGTATATTTTCATGAAATTTTAAATAACATTTCAGGATACTACACACGAATTTATATTAATTCACAAAATATTCTTGAATATTTAAATAATAAAAATTGGCACCGAAATTAGGTAGAGAAAACTAACCTGAAAATCATCCATAACACTCTTCATCCTTATCAGTTTAGGAAAAAAACGAGTCAAGCTTGTAAATAATCTTACATTTGTTATGTTTCACAAACTTATTGTATAAATGGCTGTTATGGACGGGCCCGTCAGCGTCACGTGGTCTCATAAAAAAAAACTGTTATTACATACACAATATTCACGATGCCGTACATATTGCCCTGATTTTAATAATGTCATATACATCCGACATGTGGGATGTGGCCTTCACTGAAATGCTCCCAATTGTTTCATCCCCAGACCGATTAATTCCAGTCAGTCTCGCTAGCAGCTTAAGGCGGTTGGATTTCTGTAGCGCTTCCAACACAAATTTGGAAAGCGGTCCTATTCGATCCGGCACGTATTGTTCGCCGGTTCTCCCATATAAAAATTCAAAATTAATATTTCAGTACATGGGAGATTCGAGAGTGTAAAACAAAAATAATAAGAACAAACAATTTAATTCAGGATAAAACCCATTAGTTAACAGCGTTAGTAACAAAATAAAAAGTATGTTAATATGATAATATTTAATTTGGAAATATTAGACGATAATTAAAGTACGAAAATTGTAAAACAAATTGATATTATAAAACAATCCTTACTTAATTTCACCAGTACTAATCTTTACTCAAAACTTTAAGATTTTAAAATCAATACGAACATAAAATGTGATTTCAATATCATCAAACCATTATGCCTATTATAATAATATACCTATTACCAACTAGTTTCATTAGGTTAACAGGTCCTTGTAACAGGTAGTATTAGCTACATAATCTCGTACAAAGTCATCTCTAAACCTGGATGCTATTCGAGTATTAACTTGTGAAAGGGTGAAGGTTACTCAAAATAATTAGGAATATGGGTAAAGAACTCGTTTCTTTGCTGTTATGAGGGATTAACTCAAGTAATTATTCCTTTAGAAGTATCAAAATGGTATTACACATATTTAAGAAATGTTAGAATATATTAATATTCAAAATGAGAATTATTAATATTAATAATTATAATAATAAAAATGTACCAGACAACTTTACCACCTAGTACACTTAAAATTAAAGAGTTCCAGATCAGAGAAATTAACTCCGAGGCGCTACCCAGAATATCCATACTGGAACCAGTTTACGAAATTTCTTTTCACAAACAGGACCAATTCAGACCAGGAATTGAACGCGGGGCCTTCTCGTCTAACGCTTGCAGTATAAACCGTTCAACCACAAAGTTTGTTGAATTGCTTTAATTTCTTGTTTGAACATTTGCAAATTCTACACATCATCACCTTTTAACCGACTTAAAAAAGGAGGCCACACAGCCACCGAAACAATGAATTTATTGCAAACCAAATTTCTCGATCGCATAATTTCACGATATTCAGCAGTTAAGTGGCCAGCTCGATCATGTTATTTAACACCGCTGGATTATTTTTTATGGGGTTATGTTAAAGACAGAGTCTATACGGAGCCAATCGAATCGATTGCAGCCTTAAAACTCAAAATTCGTGAAGTGATTGACGAAATAGACCCAACATTTTGTCAAAAAGTGATTTAAAACGTTGATGAAATAATTGACATCTGTAACTGTGGTCATGGTGGACATTTACCAGATATCACTTTTCATTCATAATTGCCATACCTTACTTTTTTTAATACAATAAAAATTTGAATCATTGTCATCTAAATTTATTGTTTTGTTTTGATTTACAAGACAAAGTTCCTGTTGAAAAACCCTTTATTATAGTCCGTTAGTATGTTACTGTACAATTAATGTTATAATATCTTGATATAACTAGATAAGTTTCCAGATATAACATTCGTTAATATTTATTATAAATATAATCCCAGAGTTACTTAGGTGGAAACTTAGGTGTAACAACTTGCGTAGCGAAGGTGACATATCACTATAGCGTGCGAGCTGAGCGAGTGAAGCGAGAAACGCTAGAATCCACATAAATAAGAAATGAAAATATTAATATTTTTAATTGTACGTATAATTAATTTTGGAGAATTCATACTTCCTTTAGGTTAGGTTTCAAGTGTGTCCATATGGTGCGCGAGCCGAGAGAACGAAATGAGAAACAAAAGCCGCCAGTGATGTTAGATTATCTTAGTGAATACATTATACTGGTAAAACTTATACCATTAATGCATTATCTTAGCTAATCATTACGTCCAACATTTGTTATACCGAAAGTTTGTAAACTAAATAAAATCTTTCGTTGTTTTTGCACGTGTTAATTATGACCCCTGAATGATAAAGATTTTTGAAAGTATTTTAAATATACCTAATGAAAATAGATTATTTGCTGTCATATTAATCAATCAAATGTATATTAATTCTGTTTTTTCATTTCATATCGTAGCAGTATAAGTAGGTAACATAATCTAGGTGGATAATTTTATGCTAAGTTTGGTTAACCCAAATAACACGATATTCTTAATAAATAATCCATGACTTGTTCCTCTTCTTGGCATCTTTCTTCTCCTCTTCGTTCTCTATCACCACCACTACATTCTCCTTTTACTATTCCTATTCTTTGAACAACTTTTATATTTTTTTAAATGTACAATCCTGGTAAAAGTAAAAAAATAATAGTAGACAACAACCTGTGTGAAATCACGTAATCAGTTTATCCGTCACATACTCTACTACTTTATCAAGCTGTAACGTCACACAAATATAAATAATAGAATTAAGTATATTATAGAATAGAACGTAAATAATAGAATCAAGTTTAGTATAAAAATAATAATTGCATTATTTTGCTTCTATGTGTAACCATTTCGCCTTTGTGCTTCTTATATAATCATGTTTAATGACACCATTCCGCTTGGCACTCCATTGTACGCAGCCATTACGACAATTAATTTTGTACGCCGCAATATTCTCTTTGACACAAATTTCAATGTCATTTCTCTGGAATGCTCTCAAGCCTAATGGAAATTAAAAGCCATGATCTCCTAATTACTCAAAATAATGAAAGCCACGGATGCGGATAAGATGATTTTTTAAGTCACCATTTTCGTTTTGAAAATTTTCCGTTTTGCTGTCGTTTGCCTTACTACGCGTCGCTACGAGTATAAAAATATATCTGTATTTATTTTACCAATAGTTAGCACTGTGGACGCTCGACGGGAAGGTCCTGGACTCAATTCCCGTTAGAATCAATATCGGAAATAAACATTTTTAAATTGGCTCTAGTTTGGGTGTAGTGTGTAGTGTGAGTAAATTCCGTTGCTCTGGTACTCATAATACAAGGAATTTCCTAGTTCAAGACCTAGTAATTGGTGTGGTTGTCTGGCAATTACTGGCCAATTATAAATAATTTACGGAATCCTCTTAACCCATTACTAGCGACTCACAACAATACAGAACACGGTGTGTATTGAATGTTATAAGAGCTTAGCCTTGGACTATCTGCTTGGATTTGATCTCCTACTTTGAATAAAACAATAAAACTAAAGTATAAAGAAATACATTTTTCATATCGGACATACCGAACACTTGACATTTATAAAATCAGACAAATGTCAAACGATTTCATTATCAAAATATAAACAATATGAACAGGTCCAAGCATAGTTTCGCTGGTGATCATACTAGTCATAGCAAATATCTTTAGCAAAACATATATTTTCAATTAGTGAATACAATTATTTTATTGACAATACAGTTTTCGGTTTTGTTTCTAAGTTGTTTGTAATTATTATTATTTGAAAATCAATAGCCGAAGTATAGTTGAATATTTTATCCAGTCTGTATATGTAATTAAAAAAAAAGTGATGAAATTTTTTTATCTTCATAATATTGATAAAATTGCGCCAGAGCGGGGGACTAATTCTTATAATATGCTGCATCACTTCCGTTCGTTCAAAAAGTGTTGTTTTCAGTAGATGGATATGCGGTGCTAGATTGAAAGATTTTTAAATGTCCTAACAGACATCGTGTGCGAATGTACACATTCCGTTTTTATCGATTTTTAACGCTATAATCCAAAGTTGTAAAGTTTGTTATTAAAAAGATAAATGTAACTCATCGTTGTGTCCATTAACAACATGATGTCTTTGTCAAAAGTTAAACTTACATCGAGTTCTTAGGTTTTCGCGATGTTGAAACATAGGAAATGAAACTATTTTTCCGGATTTAAATCGCGTATATTTGTTTTTTCAAACAAACCAACGCTTTGAGCCCAACAACAACAAAAAGAAACACAAAGAACAACAAAACGAAAATGTTCCAACTTTGTATTAATAAGTACATAAATCATAATTAAATACCAAAATAAATACAAGGTATTTAACACTGATTATATGATTATTATTGCTATCCAGCTGTTGCTAGCTGACGATGAGTGCTTTTGTACCTGTACAGGTGCACTTTTACAGACGTGACATGATAAATCACGATAAATATCAGGATATTATTTATCAAATGAAACAAAGTATTTATCAGAAAATTAGAGCTTAAAAATAATCTCAAAAAACTTTATCAAATGATTTAATTAATAATTTGCATAAAAGGTGACCGTGACATTATTATCGTTCATTAAACACTGCCCATTATCGCTGTAGGACGTGGTAAAGATTTTTGGAAGAATATATATTTTTCGTCATATAAAATACGACTCATGACTAAGTAGGTACGTACTCAATGTTTGTGTGACTTAAAAATAGATTATTTCGCAAATATTTATATACGTGTGTTATTTGACTCTCGACTTGTACTTATTTTCAGTTAAAACGCAAAGCCCAAGATGACGATAGACGTTATACAACGTAACGGCGAAACAAGCCAGGAAGCTGTCAAACAGGAGAAACCAGCACCAAAATACTGGGATCCATTACAGCAAGGCGTCAAATGGATAGAAAGATATGCAGAGCCTCTTGAAAAGTTCTTCGAGAGATTGCCAGAATTCATTAGCACATTTGTTGCTACACTTGCTGTTTTCACATTCGGATCCATATTACGAGGTAAATTTTTGGTTTTTTTTTTATAGCCGCTCACGCGATGCGCTCATCCTACCGCAAAATGGCGGCTATTTGGTTTCGCAAATTAGAAAAGGATTCAGTTTAAATACAAGTTTTTATAAATAAAAATTATTATTCTGCATTGCTAAATAAATACCCTCCGTACTACAACAAAAACATCTCAAATAAAATGCAGTAATACACCGCAAATCCTGCACTTAAAAAGCACTAATGAAATTTTTGGTGTACTTGGTTAATATCATAATATTCCGTTTGAGTGGTTCTAATGTTTACCATGAAATTACTCCTTAAAGTATAGTTTATAAACATTTATATTCAGGGTAAACTTAAAAAACGCAACTTACGGTATGTTTTCAATAAATAAACACCGACATCACCAGCCCAAACAATAACACACACGATTGTCGTGACGTATTTTTGAAGTTGTTTATTTTTTTTAAATGACAGATCCAGGCATTAAAAACTTTATGGTTTGCTAGAGTAGTTACCGAAATAGCAATTAGTATTAGTTCTTTTACCTGTTATAACTTCGATATCCGATAAATCGGTATAACATCATCGCCGGCACCTCTAGGTGTGGTATGCTTCCAGAGACGCATGAATCGCGTGAGCGGATAGGTTAACTTTTAGATAATGCTTTTTATTATTAAGTCGGCCTTTTGTACCATTATGTGTCGTCTGCCGCCGTTAAAACTCAAAACTGAGGAAATAATGTTGGAAGAACTGAAATTAAGAAATACCAACTTCTTTCTCGCGGTAACTTCATACAGTATCCACCTAATCTCTAATCAAGGCTTCTATCTAGATACAATTTTTTTTTAAATGTTACATGCGCCCTTTCAACTAAAGGCGGAAGTGGTCAATAAAATTTAATAAATAAATAAATAATTAAAAACTTTTACAGTACCTGGTAATAATAAATTTGTCTAGTAATCTTAATATCATAACAATGGCATGTATTAAATGCTTGCCATCGTGTGAAAGGATTTGCCAATCGGTAGTCCAGGATGCTCCAGACGGACGTAGAAAAGATACGGTACATCGTGCGGGGAGACTCGTTTCGTGGTCCCCAATCTTAACAAAAATGATAAATACTTACAATACCAAGTAGCAGACAAAAGTGGTGTGAGGTAACAAGGTCCTCAATTGCGCAAGTTTAGAAAAACTTTTTGTTGAATAATTAAAATAATGAATTGTATTTACAAAAGCTTTAAAATTATAATAAATTATGTTTACCAGTTACGTGGCAACGTAGAGGTTCCAGGAGCGGTATTCTGTAATCGCTATTGTTTTGATTTGGTATGGCTCTGATAGCGAAAGTCGTCGGTTGCCGTATCGTCAACTTACCGATTATGCTATTCTGTAAATCCACATAACGAAAATCGTTACTGCAGTAACGATGCCTACCGACAGCGATGTGACGTCAGCGTTTCATTATCGGAAAATATACGAAATGGGAACATCCCGACGGGAGGCTATGTTTCTCGACCAATCACGATCGAGCGTTCAAATAGTTATTTACAAATACTCGTAGCTATGGTTATTTAGTTTGTGAAGTTTGTTACATTCAAGGTTTTGATTACGTACTGTTTGTGTTTTTTTTTTCTGAATACTTTTGCAAAATGACGGATATGTAAATATGTAAATATTTACAGAACTCCAATTTGCTTACTTAATTTTTTCCATCCTCTAAGGTAAATATCTGATGAGATGAGAATTTACTAGGGAAACGTCGCTCACCTTAACCTCTACAATCGCGGCATCATGAAATAAACAAATGATTACAAGACACACTCAAGAACCCTTTCAATTACGAAACATTTTGGCTTACCTTAAGGCAAAAAGTGAATTTTTTCCACTTAATGCGATCAAAACACAAATATCTAACAGTAAAATATAAGAAAAAAGCGCGTCGTTAAGAATACCGACGTAAACAAGGTGCCCTCGAAGAGCCGATAAAAATATCGAATCTTAACGAAACTTAACGAACATATCGAACCGAATTGTCGTTATGATCGGTTAAAGTAGTGTACAGAATAGCATTTGTCGACAAAATCGATACCGTCGGTAAAACCGCATAACGAATATCGAAAAATGAGTCTCAACGATTACAAAATACCGCTCCAGGTACGGTGCCCGGCCCGGGCGAAATTTTTGTATGGCTTACATTTATTTCACTCGTGAGTTTGGGTATGATTTGTGTCCATGGTAACCGCCACACAGGGTTTCCATAGTGCGGGGTTATATTGAGTGTGTTAAAAAAAATACTATCGTCTTCGTCAACTTATTACACAACAACTGTTGGGCAGGGATGTATTCTAAGGGGAACGCTTGCACAATGCGTGTTGGTGACTTTACACATTTAGTAGAGTTGTGAACCCTCTGCGACATGCAGATTTCCGTTTATTCCCAGTAGTTCCATGTACTCAGTTCCAGGTCGAACAATTATAACCATAACATGTCACATCATGTTTTCCTTCATTGTCAGCGAGAAATACTGTTACTAAACACTCATAACTCACACTCGTAACTAGTGACTACATACATAACTGGCTAAGTGAAGATAAACTTTTATCATCATAAAGTCGTTAAAAAACCTAAACAAAGATCTGCAACAAGTTCATAAAAAAATTCGTAAGATCTGCTTTTCGTTCGTTCGTTCGTTCCGTTGCTCAGTTGGGAGAGCTTCAGGCACGGTATGCTGAAGGCTCTGGTTCAAATCCAGCCGCATCGAAGGAACTTTTCTTATGTTCGATCTATGTATTAATAATTATAATATGAACTAGTGGAGTAATTTCACAAATAAATCATTGAGTATACTGGTAGAAAAACATCGTGATATTCAATAAACTTAATATTAGTGATATTATTAAGTAATATAGGTAGGCAATACTGAGTTGAACCATCGGCCTTGGAATTGGGTAGCAACCTTCCTCCTACTGAGCTACAACCTCTATGTAAAGTATAATCAAAGTATAATTATTTTATCGCAAAGTATCTGTCTATGTGATGACAGTCTTCGAGTTTTATCAAATGAAAAGCCTGTCAAAATAAAAAATGTACTTAATAATAATTATGATTACTTTCTAAACGTAAATATTCACTCGGATAAAAGCTATGAATTATATAACAATAACAAATTATTTATTTCATACGTTTACATGAATAGTGTTTGTAACAATGTAACTTAATCTACTGTGAGTAACGGGTATGTTATTTTAGGGTTAACTGAAAATCACAAAAAATAGATTTTATTTTTAACCTAAAAGGAGGAAGTTCTCAATACGACTGTATTTTTTTTGTATGCGCAATAACTTTGTGAACCGATTTTGATGATTCTTTTCTTTTTGTTGGAAAAAAGGTACCTCAATAATGAACCCATTTGAATTTGAAGAAAATATTCCGCCTCATAGATTGATAAACTTAGGGGATGAATCCGGTTTCGCACACTTTCCGGTAACCGATTTCAATAAAAATTGGCAAATAAATGTAATTACACGAACTTTTGAGGTCGGTTTTTTAGTACTCTGTATTGAGATTATTATATAATTTTTTAACGCACACATTCGTAACCCCTGAATTGACACAAATATCGAACAAACTGAAACAAAAAATCTTTCGGTACGGCTGGACCAGCGACTTTTTGCGTTGAAATTTTGTAATATAAAATTTTGTAGTCAAAGTCATGGCTATGTCGCTGACTTATTTATAATTTTGTTTTAGTTTGTTCGATCTTTGTGTGAATTATAATAACAATCTAATGGAGTACTTTCACAAAAATATTGAACAAATCAATATTTTATTCTATTCTTTTTTTAATTTTTCCAGGAGAATGGGTCATAATATTAGTAACAGCACTAAAACAAATCTCAGGTCATACTCAAAGTAATCAGAATATTACCACAGAAGAAATTTTCAGCTTGTTTACGGAACAAAACTTGAAGATGGAAAACTTCGGTATAATATTTATAGGTGCACACGTCGTGTCTCTCAGTATGTACTTCCTTATCGGAGGATTTTTGCACGTGAGTGTTTAATTTTATTTCTAATGCAATATATTCATTATCATTATTTTTATTTAGTCTGTATTTTTCCAGTGACTCTTAAAGCCTTATCAACTTATCAATCAATTTTATGTTTAAGATAAGCTTAAGTTTTTATACAAAACAATTAAGTTATTATCAGAATCAAGCACAGCAACAACTTCTCTAATCGCTGTTTAAAATATTGCCAATAGTTAAAATAAAACAATCGAAATTAATAATCTCAGTAAAGAATATTCATCGCCCTGTCACCCTTAGAGGTGGAATATTTTTTTCAAATTTAAATGGATTGATGTGTTAATAGATTAGTCATCAAAATCAGTTCACAAATGTTATCGTGTAACATACATACAAAAAAACAAAACACGTCGAATTGAGAACCTCCTCCTTTTTTGAAGTCGGTTAAAAATAAGCGATCAACGGTATCTTTCTGAAACTTCCGCTTGAAGCCGAAGTTTCAGAAAGATACCGTAACTTATAAAATCTTAAAGTGCTGTGAAGATTCTATTTGTCTATGCGAACATCTCCTTCGTGAGAAAGCATGACTTTTCGTATGAGCGAATGTTGTTACAATCACTTATACTCGTAGTCTATACGTTATGTTGTTAGAACAACTCATAATTAAACAGTTATGTAATAAAAAGGTTATCAAAAACAAAAATATGCAAAAAATCAGTAGAAAGAAGCATTTAGTAAGAAAATGGTGAGGCAATACTTATAAGGCTTCTATCTACTACTGTGAAAAATAATGGGGATATCCTTAAACGGCTTAATACAATAACAGTTCTTTATTGGAGCAGGATATTAATAACAATAATATAGTTCATTTACACACAACTCTATAATAATACTATATAACATTGTGTTGTAAACCAGTAAACCAAAACATTTGCTGTGTGTAAACGCTGGAGCCCAAACTAAGATACCCTGTGATATAGGTCTCCAGGCCTCTACCTATGGAAAAAATATCCTGAAAACAATGACTACGACAAGAATTATTCATGCTTAGAATTATTCATAGAGTAATGCAAAAATTTCATTTAAACAAACCAAAATTAAAATAAGAAAATAGTAAAAATTGCTTTTAAACATAGAAAAAATAAATAAAAAAGTAAAAATTTCACATAAACAAAACAAAATGTTAAAAAATAAAAAATATCATATAAATATATATAAAATATGTATATATAGATAAAATGTTGCTGTTGGCATTATGTCAGAACATTGGCCATTGTACAAGCGATAGAACAGGTATAGGGAGGCAAAGTCTCTCCTCCAAGACAGTGGTTCAATATCGTCTGTAAGCACAGGATCGTCAACAATTCTTGTAGCACGTCTTTGAACCGCGTCAAATGGCCCAAACTGGCATCCATGAGCTCCCGCTCAAAGATGGCAGAAGTATTTCATGTGGGGACGGACTTGTGACTTATAAAGTAGCAGTCTCTGCTCCGAAGTGAAATACCGCTTAGCCCTGTTGAGCACACCGGAGCATTTTGGACGCCAGCTTGACTTCGCTAACTAAGTTACTACGAAACTGAACGTTACAAGAGATGTCGACACCAAGGATTCCGATGCTCTCCGAGATATTAAATGGCTTGTTGTGGAACTGAAGGTCTGCAGCAAATGGAATCTTTTTAGTGGAGAACGCGCTAACTTGTGTATTGGTGGGGTTAAATTGGTCTAAGTTTAGTCGTCCCCAATCAAGAAGGGTCCCGTGGAGAAGGTCCGGAGATTTTTTTGTTCGTGACATAAGTTGTTTATGGCTCTCCTCTACGAAAGACCAAGGGGACTTAGCATGGCCAGTGTAATAGGTGTCCACCGTGCTGTCATCCGCGTAACAGCGAATGCCGTCAATAAACAGCATATCATTGATGTGCAGCAAAAACAGCTTTGGGGACAGCACACAACCTTGCGGGATACCAGCGTTAGTGTTCAAACCCTCAGAGCAACTGCCGTCGACGGGACGTCGAAGGGAGATTATGGCTATATACCTGTAATTTGACGGGTCTGATCTATCACCTTTTTGGGCACTGGATATACGTAGGCAGTCTTCTATGATATCGGGCCTTTTGATAGTAATTAGGAGAGTGCATAAGGGTACGTTAATACAGGACACAGCTCCGGAGCACACACTGTAAGCACCGCTGCTGGTATACCGTCTGAACCACTCCCCTTATGAATATTGAGCAAAAGCAACTGCTGCCAAACTCGCCGTTACGTTATAACGATTTCCGGCATGAAGGTACCGCACCAAGGGGTATTAGGTAGCGCAGCTCCGCCATCGTTCGTAGTCGTCGTTCAGTAAGTCGGTTTTTTCTTTAGTGCTATAGTCTAGATCACCGTCAGGTCTACGGAGTGGTGGCAAGGTCGACTAACAAAAGTTACCCTCCGCAGCTTTGGCGAGTGACCAGAAAGTACGCCACCCGAAGGGTGCAAGTCGCTCCCCAATTCTGCCGACGAAATTGAGGCAGCATTTAGTTTCCGCTTTGCGTCAGGAAGCTTTGGATCCTTATTCTTGAATGCCGTAATCCAAGCCACAAAAGCAGATTGCTTTGCAACATTAGCATCAGTCTGTTGACTTATAGTTCCACACACAACGCTTCCCAGCGAGCCGAGAGAGGTTGGTTTGTATGCAAGCCAGACAAGGCAGTTATATTCATCTGGATGAGTGGTCAGCAGAAAGTCCAACAAGGAACTTGTATGGTTCACGACACTGGAATACGAGTTGGAAAATGAATTAGTTGCGAGAGCACAAAGGCCAAAGCAAACTCCCAGTAACACTAACTCAGCGAAAGGCGCTCAAATAGACGAGTGGTCTCCGAATCTTCGATGTGAGACCTGTAAAGACACGAATAGATACGAGTGTGGCCGTCGTGATCTATACGCATCTAACGAACCGACAGGTCTCTGTTTTTGAAGCTGCGAAGACGGCGACAGCATACATCCTCCCGGCTGTACATGTACACCCCGACACGACATACTAAATTGTGCTCGAGCTTGTACCCGGAAAACGATAGGTACGAAGTATCAGCAGGGCAGGATATTTGTGATTCCGTGAGGAACAATAGAGTCGGTCGCGCAGTTTCGAAGTGTTGAAGAACTGCGTTTATGTTGGTGTGAAGGCGCCTGGTATTGCCTAAATCCACCTTGAACGTGGAATTTGAGGCCGTTGATCGTTGATTTCAATTAATTCTTCTTTTCCGCATAAAAAAGTTTAAAAAGGGTTTAACGAGGGCTCTTTGCACCGACAGCAAAAGGGGCAAAAAATTGCAATGTCAAACCTACAATGCGCAATAGCCGGAGATGCGACTTGCTGGCGCGGCGAGCGTAAGAGCCCCCGGTCCCTCCCTAAAGCAACAACCAGGTCCACTCCAGTCTTCTTCTCCGTCACGGCCATTACGCCAGGGATTTTTCACAAACTGGCATTTCAGCCTCCCAGGGCGGAGATTATGTAATCCCTGGATTTATGAACCCGTTCAACCCGCGGGCGGCAAACGGTAAGCCGTTTCACCGAGTCTCCCTCATCACCGCGCCAACATGTCACGCTCACTTGTACACAGAGTAGGATGCCCATTAACACAGGTCCTCCTCCTGGCGGTACTGCGCCTCCTCAGAAGACCTTACTCACCGCAGGAGTACAACAATACCAAGTAGTGTTATTTAGCTGCAGTCTTCTGTAAGGTGGAGGTACGTCCCCAACGGGCTGCTCCAATTCGAACGGATATAATCCGTTATGCCCTGTCTCTCGTAACCTTGGTTGATCCCGCATAACCGTGAAAGTGTTGAGTCAACAACTTTGGAAAAATATACAGCAAAAAATTGTGAAACTGATTATATACGGTGTGAATACATGATTCCTAAAAATTTTCACCATAGAAAAAAACTCGAACTTACTCGAAATTTTA